GAGAGAATTAGTAAAATTGATATACTGCTTGATACAACATATACAGTATTTTTCTCTCTTTCTTATCCCTGAATGTATTTCTCCTACTTCCATTTTGGTGCCCTTTGATTCGCATCAGAGTAGCTGAAGATGATGGAAGCTGAAACCTTTTGCCTTTAAGACATGAATATTTCTGCGTTCGTTGCTGTAATGAATATATAGATACGTGCTGTTAATTGGGATTCAGGACGAACTTGTCTGAAGTGCTGTTGAAGACATATAAAAAAAAAACCGGTACGACACAGGCAGGCCTGTCACATGTCTGTCCCAGAGTAGTTTTGGTCACTGGAGAGTCTGTGTCTATAAACAAGTACAGTTTATTGAAAGGATCAGTCAGTTATATGATTCGTACAAGGGAGTTTATCCCATCCCAGCTGCCCACAAGTCCTTTAGGCAGGCCTGTCACATGTCTGTCCCAGAGTGATTTCGGTCACCGGAGAGTCTGTGTCTGGTTGATAGTCTTGTGCCCCCAAGCAACTCACATCACCTCCAGGGGACCCCAATTGCTGACCTCCTTTATGGGTTTCGGCCACCTTCGTCACCCTCCACAGGATGCCCTGTGCCTGCGGGTCCTCTCTGTTGCACCATCAGGCCTGGTTCTCACTGATGCTGCCTTCATAGCTGCTACCTGCGTCACAAGTATCGGGACTGAGACGGTGTTTGTTATTCAGGAAGTGCTCCAATTTGCGGTTCCTCCTCCTTCATCCCGTGTAAAGGGACTCCGGCTCAGGGCTCGGGAACAAGATGGCGTAGTTTCGTCTGGAGGGCAGGGCTCCTGAAGTACCAGAGGGTTGGGGGCCACTCATAGGCCTCAATTCACTCCTGGTCTTCCTCCTTCTCAGACGGGGCAGTCTCTTCCCCTCGGATTCTGGAACGTTCTCCTCATTTCTCCCCAGCCTCCGTGAACTCCTAGCTGGCCCCCCTCCGGCCCTTGACCTTGGACCAAGGGCTATCTGCCCTTGAAAGTCCTTCATTGCATCTTGCATTTTTTTTGGGGGGGTAGCTCATTTGGACTATTTCATCATTCGTCTGGCCCTTCGCCCCCCCCCCCAAAAGGAGACTGCATCTTGCATTTTTGGGGGGGGTTTAGCTCATTTGGACTATTTCATCATTCATCTGGCCCTTCGCCCCCCCCAAAAAGGAGTGAAGAAAAAGCTTCGCTCGGAAGCCGCGAGAGAGTCTCAGCTCCTCATGCCTTCCCTGATATTCCTACACCATCATTATCCAGATGTGGCAACCGGAGAGCGAGAGAAATCCTTCGCCGTCTCAGGCTAAGCGTGACCTAAAATTAATGGAAGTCTTTCTATAGATCGCACCGCACACTTCAGAGCAAGCCTTGGAAAGTGTAGCAATTAACCTCCTGATAAAAAGGTTACCTGAGTAGGATTCATTGATTCGTTTTCTTTTAAGACAGGCGCGCCGATGGGGGCCTCCGTTTCTTTGGAAAGGAAGCTATGAAGGAATTACCAGAGCTGTGGGAATCAGCCAGACAATTAGGCACAAGAAGAACATCATCTCCGAAAGGTATTTATTTAGTAAAAGAACATAATCAAGCTGGCCTTTGCTGGCTTTTGCAGCATCAGCTTTTTGCTTAGGCTGAGCCGAAGTATTCAGCTGGGGCTACGAGGCTTCCCCCGCCAGCGGCTTTCACAGATGCTGGGGGGGGGGAATGCCTTTGCAAAGTTCATCCTCAGTGCTGGTGGCAGGGGAACGTGAGGGCATCCGCTCGTTGCCTAGGCAACAGTGGAGGAGGATGGCTTTATCCCTCCTCTCACTCTCTCTGCTGCCTGCAGAGATGGGGAACGGTTATTTGAATCCCGCAGACGGTACAGCCAGGGTTGTGCCTGCGGTGGGATTCTGGAAATTGTCGTTCAGAAAGCCAGTGCTTCCTGTCTCTGGCTGAGCACCGTCGTGTTATGTGGGAATATGGGCAGAGTGGCTTGAAGCCCAAGGCAACGAGCCGATGGGTCACAGAATCAACGACTACTGGAGTTGAAATATAAGACCTTCGAGTCTAACCCCCTGTTCAATGCAGGGACCCAAATCAAATCTGGCAGGCGGCTGTACTAAATTTTCCTCTCGAAGGCCTCCAGGGTTTGGAGCGCTCACCACCTCCCGAGGTCATGGTTTCTATTGTCGTACCGCTCGGTTCTATTGTTGTACCTCTCTAACTGTTAAGAGGTTTCTCCTGATATTCAGGCTAAATCTGGCTTCCTGTCATTTGAGCCCATTGTTATGGGCCCTGCACTCTGGGAGGATGGGGAAGGGATCCTGCCCCTTCTTCTTCCACTGCGCTTCAAAAGAAGAGCCCCAAGCTGGAAGAGAGAAAGGGGGGAAGAGAGAGAATGAGACCTCATCGTCTAGGCTGGGTGGATGCATGGCTGTAGTGGAACAAGAGGTCACAGGGTCAAAGCACCCGTTCTTCAGTTTAGAAGGAAAACGATGGTCTTTAAGTTCTCTTCCCCCACCCCCACGCACCCCTTTTCTCTCCTTTGCCAGGGGCTGGAAGTACACCTTTGCAATAAACCAGGGGAAATGTATTTGCTGGGAGTTACCTACAAAACAGCACATCGCCCTTTGCTCCACAGGGCCAAATTGCAGCGCTTCGTCCTTGGCTCATGTGCATCTTCACATTTTCATTAAATTGTTATTTGTTTTTAAAAAGGGATCAGCTATCTACATGAGCCCACAGAGGTGCCAAGGAAGAAGAAGGGAAAAAAAAAAACCAAAGATGCCATGGCAGTCAAGGGAAGAGTGAGGCTATGGGAATGGGGGCAGTTGGAGGGGGGCAGGCAGGCCATTGGTTGGGGGAAAAAGGGGTGATCCCAGATCACCAGAAACTGTGGTGTATCTGTAGAAACCAGTGCCCAACTGTGGTAGGGCTTGCTCTCCTTGCTCCACAAAACAGCACATTGCCCTTTGCTCCATAGGGCCAAATTGCAGCGCATCGTCCTTGGCTCATGTGCATCTTCACAGGTGCGAGTTTCATTAAATTGTTATTTTTTTAAAAAAGGGATCAGCCCACAGAGGTGCCAAGGAGGAAGAAGGGGAAAAAACCCAAAGATGCCATGGCAGTCAAGGGAAGAGTGAGGCTATGGGAATGGGGGCAGTTGGAGGGGGGCAGGCAGGCCATTGGTTGGGAAAAAAGGGGTGATCCTAGATCACCAGAAACTGTAGTGTATCTGTAGAAGCCAGTGCCCAACTGTGGCAGGGCTTGCTCTCCTTGCTCCAGTTTTGCTTGAGAGTGTTGGTCTCGGCCAGGGCACGGAGAACTCCAAGCTTTTAACGGTGAATGCCACTCCCCTTGTTTTCTGGTGTCACAGAAAGGGTAAAGACTTCTCTTTGGGCAGGTGGCGTGAGGAGCAGCCGCACCAGTGGAGGAGGGACGTGCTTCCCCAATCTTCTGTTCTTTCCTCCTTGGTACTTCTGATTGAGCCATTTAATGAAGGGGCTGACAATCTGCCTCCGGGGACACCTGCCCTCATTCCTCCTCCATCTTTCTCTTCTACCTGAACGGGGGAGAGAGAGAGAGAGAGAGAGAGAGTGGGGACACCTGCCCTCATTCTTCCTCCATCTTTCTCTTCTACCTGAATGGGGGGGGGGAGAGAGAGAGAGAGAGCAGGTGAGATGCAGTGCCTTCTGCAAGCTTCCGACTTGCTCGCTCTCAGCCTTCTGTCGTTCCCCATCTCTTATCCCCAAGCTCCTTGGTGCACTGTGAAAGGACAAGAGGGTGAAGAGGAAAGCAAGGAAAGGCATGCAAAGAAGAGAAAGCTGTAGAAGGCTGTGGGATTGGATCCAGGGGCCGGCTCTGTCAACGGGGAGACTGAGCCGCTGGCCTGCCTTAAGTGGTAGATGCTGATCCCTTGTGTGATGTCAAGATGGAGGAGGTGAGGAGGAGAGCCAAGCAGGCAGAGGAAAGAAGGCAACACCATAGACCACATCGAGATTGGAGCCAGATGGGGGCAACTGCCTCAGGTGACAGAGGCGGAGGGCAAGCCTGCCTTTTGGATGATAGAGATGCATCTCCTTCACCTCAGACCTCCTGAACATCTTTGGTGCCTGAGATGGGTTGAACGCCACTCTCCCATTCCTAGTAGTGGAGAAAAATGGAAGAGCCCTTCTAGCCAGTTTTTGTAAATTAAACCAGGAGGGGGAAAAGCACTTTCCCTTCTGAATCAGGCAGCAACGAGTTTTGACCCATCCCAATGATAACCGGGGCATCTGGCATGATGGGATTGGGCCCATGGAGAGCTGAGAGGAGCCTCTAGTCTTCCGCCCTTTCCTTGTTTCCTGCACTGAAGTAGTCATACCATGGCTAATAGCTGCGGGCAGTTGGATCCTCACTGGAAGTATATGCTCTCCTTTTTAACAGCTAACAGCCATCCCCTTCGTCTGCGGAGTTGCAGAAGTATATTTCGCAGTGAAGAGCCTTTACTAATTTCAGACAAGATGGAACAGGGACCATAAGTCCATTGGGCAACGTAAACTTAACATTTGGCATATCAAAGAAATAGGCCAGATGGGTGTGTCGGGGGACCAGACTTTGTGTTGGGTGTTTCTTGCTCAGAGTTTGATCTCGGTTGGTTACATGGGGGAAGGCTGATGTGGTACTTTGATCACCTGGGGGAGGTGCAATTCTTTACTACATCCTCTCGTTTAAAATCTCGAGTAAACTTCCTTGCATGCTGTCAATAGTGGTTCTTCCGCCCCTGTTGACCGGTCTCATAAAAATTACACCACTTATACTCATGAAGATGAAGTCCAAGTTGGCTTAACTTTGAAGAAAATCTTCAGCCGTAAGAAAAAGTAGCCCCACCACTTCGGTAGCCTCTGTAGACGCTTTGGGTGGAACGTTCAAAAGCCAGAGGAGTTTTTTTTTTCAAAGAAGAACTTGAAGAAGGTCATCCAAAACGTGGTGAAAGCAAAACAGACTCTTGGAACATAGTAAAAAAATAGTGCTTTTATTGGTGGGTTTACAAGCAGAACCCATTTGTGTCTAATATCCTGCAGGTAGAGAACAAAATTAAAAATAAAACCTGACTCATGTCATGCTTTAGGTGATGTCACTTTTTGCTTTCTGTTTTTCCCTGGGTTAAACTGCCCGCAAGCAGCTGCACGTCCTAAGCGGGTCTCTTTGCTGTAATCCACGGCGAGAATGTTGCTGATGTTAACAATTTTGCCTTGCAACCCTATTTCCTCCACAAGCACTAGCCTCTTGCATTATCTAGGGAAGCTGTCTTCCATTCCGGCTTCGTCACGTAGAGCGTTAGCATCACCGATCTCCATGGAAAAGGAGACAATTTATATCTTTTTTTTAAAGTAAAAAAATATCAAATATAATAAATTTATGAAAGACCATTCACACCATATACATTAAGTATTACATTGTTGCTACAGCAGCTACGTGATTCCGCCCGCCCTCCTGCCCTCCGTCTTCCTCTTCGTTCTCGCGTCCTCGTTATAGAATGCAAGGTTGTACATGGCCATTAGTAAACGCACTAATATGAGTAAGACCTTAAAATGAAAAATATGCGGTCAGGTTTTTGTTTTTAAATCTGTGTATAGATATAAATTATTTACTGTGTTACAGTCTAGCGTCTCCAGAACCACACCTCTGCTATAACAGCTGTGACATCAGGCTGGACACCCCCTCCCCTTCTCTGTGCATATATAAATATAAATATTGAGCAAAGTTGAAAAGAGCAGGGTCAAAGGTTATACGTACCATAACACATTGACGCAACCCTCTCGTTAAGGGCTAATCTCCCTTCGTCTTTCCTTTGCCGTTCGCATTTAGAAAAAGGCTGCTTCGACGGTTTTGGAGTTACAGCGTTACATTCTGTAAACAATATTTTAAAGTGTCCTAAACCAACCACCCGACCAACCCACCCACTGCGCACTTAAACGACCGACTCTTTATCTCTGTCCGGTGACAACTGGTCATCGAGGTGTTCGTCGCTTTTGCTAGAGTCCGTCAACCGTAGCTGGAAGTTGTCACTGGTGCCTCTGGTGACACTGTCGTAGGAAGGAGGGAAAGACGTAGAGGACAGTGTTTCCGACCGGTCTATCGGCCTCCCGTAGTTCTCACTCATCATGGATGCAATGAGACCCTCCTTTTCCGGTGCATCGTCCCCAAGAGGGCAAGCTTTTTGGCGATATAAATAAGATGCCTGCTTCATGGAGCGCTGGAAAAGGTGGGCCCTGTAAGCCCTCTGGATGATGACGGCAGACACCTCTTCCTGTTTTCTCCTGAGCGTGGTTGTGATGGGCTCGTAGGAGATCTTCGATGGATTGGCAGCCATGAATTTTTCCTCCATCTGGATTTTAAGGGCGTCCATCTCTCCCGATTCCCCCAGGACTCTTTTGGTGAAAGCAAACAAAATATCTAAGCAATGGATCCTGTCTCCACTCACCATGGGCAGGTCCATCGCAATGAGTTTGAGAGTATTTGGTTTCGGGATGCGCAGAGGTTCCGACAGGGCATCTGCGAAATTGGAAAGTACAGAATACTCAATAAACTGAGTGGCTTCGGCGTCGAACTTCTCCCAGATCTCGTAGAACATGTCAAAGTCGTCCTCACTGAGAGGCTCTGTGCTCTCTTCAGTGGCAACACTGAAGTTCTCTAAAATTATGGCTATGTACATGTTTACAACAATAAGGAAGGATATAATGATATACGTAACAAAGAACATGATCCCCACCGCAGGACTGCCGCAATTCCCTCTGGAGCCATTCGCATTGATATGGCCTGGGTCACAATATGGCGGGCCGGTGTTCAAAATGGGGTGGAGAAGACCATCCCAGCCGGCCGATGTCGTGATCTGGAAGAGGCAGAGCATGCTGTTGGCAAAGGTCTGGAAGTTGAACATGTCGTCGATCCCATACTCGTGCTTCACGTAGGCAAAGTTGGCCATGCCAAAAATGGCGTAAATGAACATGACGAGGAAAAGGAGGAGCCCAATATTGAACAGTGCGGGGAGGGACATCATTAAGGCGAAGAGGAGAGTCCGGATCCCTTTGGCCCCTCTTATAAGTCTCAGGATGCGACCGATCCGAGCCAAGCGGATGACTCTGAAGAGGGTAGGAGAGAAAAAATACTTCTGGATGATGTCAGACAGCACAGAACCTAGAGGGTGGGAAAAGGGAGAGAAATGAGGATTGCTCATTAAGTGGAGTATCGAAGAGTGTAGCACTACCATTAAATAAAAAGGTCTGAGTCGCACCAGTGGATAAAAGCCAAAGAAACAAAACAAGACAAGACGAGATAAAAATTTGTGGCATCTTAAAGTCTAATTATTATATTTTAATGTGAGCTTTTGTGGACAAGTCCACTTTGTCAGGGATCCGGGGATGGGGTGGGAATAATGTTTCGGTTCTCAGCCTCTTTTCCTGAATCGGTTCTGTGCACTTGCTTGATCGGAGTCAGACGGGGTTCAGTTCGGAGTGACTCTTAAAGAAGTGTGGTAAGGTTGCTCTCTTAACTCCCATTGGACTCTCTTAAGTTCATATATTTCACTTTTCTCTTCATTCTACTTAAAAATATTATTGGGAAAAAAATTGGAAACTTTTCCCCCTGTAGGTCTGATGTAGTGGACTTGTCCACGAAAGCTCACATTAAAATATAATAGTTGAAACCACACATTTTTGTCTCTTCTTGTTTTGTTTCCTTAGATTTTGCCTGATATACCAGATGATAACAATCCATACAAGGGCTGATTGTCTATTGATGCCAAAGGATGCCCCCCACACCCCTCTTTTAAGGCACTGTATAAGGGGCTGAATTTAGTTAACAAAACTAGTTAAGCAATCGGATGCGTGCCTTTCTTGCTGTCCGATCATGCCAAGAATGGGTGTAGGATTGTCAACAATGATTTTAGAAGTAATTATTGTAATTGTTACATGGCAACACCTTTTTTTTTCTGTTGAGTAACAATTAACATTTCCCATTATTTTACATTGTTAATAGACTTCCTTTGTAAGTTGAAATGATTTTTTTAAATTTAACAGTTCAACGAACCCACTGATAAATTAAATTTATTAAATTTCCCTGCTGGTTGAATGTTCTTCCCGATCGCTAATGCTTCTCAAGCTCAACAGGATGATGTGAAGGGTTTCGTATATTAAGAGCACTCCACCCCCTACCCTTGTGAGGCTATTCCAACACCCATTTGGGCCACATCAATCTAGAGAAACCGTAGTTTTCAAATTTGTACTGGGCGGTACCTACCTACAATTGATAAAATGACAACAACAAAATCAAATATATTCCATCCATTGGTGAAATAGTAGTGACGCAGAGCCAATAATTTGAATATGCACTCTGCAGTGAAGATGGCCACAAAGACCATGTTGATTTTGTAAAGGATGATCACTTTTTCTGGACTCTGATCATCTGTTTCCACCATCATAGTGACCATGTTTAGACAAATGAGGAGCATGATGCAAACATCAAAGGCTTGGTTCAAGACGACATCGAAGAGGAAGCCTTGACACTTGTTCTAGAAATATGAGGGAGACACCGGCATTAGAAGACCAAGGTAGCTAAGTCAGACAAGACCATTTCCCTCAACCTACTTGAGCCTGAAATGCTGGGCTGACAGTTTTCTGAGTGGCATGGAACTTTTTTACCATTTGATTGTTTCTTCTCCATGGTTTTTAGTACAGTGGTACCTTGACTTACAAACATCACTTGCGAACGATTCGAGTTACGAATGGCTCCATTCGCAAAAAGTTGCTTCAACTTGCAAACAGAGCCTCGACTTACAAATGAAAAAAAAATTGAAAAAAACACTTTTCTGCCCTTTTTTTGACCTAAGTTCCATTGAAAAAAACACTTTCCTGCCCTTTTTTTGACCTAAGTTCATCGTAGGTCAAAAGAAGAAAAAATACAAAAATTCTCCCCCTAGTGGTAGAGTGCATTAGTTCAAATGGGAACGAATGCCTCTACTTACGAACAGTATCCTGACATACGAACGAAAAACAGGAGGTACGGATTAAATGGTTTCCTGACATACGAACGAAAAACAGGAGCTACAGATTAAATGGTTTTCAATGCATGCCTATGGAAAAGTTTGCCTTGACTTATGAACTTTTCGATGTATGAACACTGTTCCAATACGGATTAAGTTCATAAGTCGAGGTACCACTGTACATGGTAGCCATTACGAAAAAGAGAGATTTCTATGTATTCGAACTCAGGAAAGATGACAAATGCATACAGGCAGCCATGTTGAATCAGTGAGAAAGGGCCCCAGCAGTGGTCTGCTGATAACACTGGTTCTCATTATTTATTTATTTTATCTATATACTATTCCAATTATTTATTTATAGATTGCCCATCATGAAATCTCTTCACCAGCTACCAAGCAAAATTAGGTACAGGAAGCCCCCACCCCACCCCTGCATCCACGGGATCAGTATCCACTGATTCACTTATCTGCTGGCTGAAAATACTAAAACACACACCCCAGAAATACTTATTTAGATGTATTTCCAGGGCATATTTATCAGAATTGGGCACTAGAAGGAGCCAAAGACCATACAATCTATAGCATTCAATACTTCTGTGTTTTTCTTCTGGGCGGGGCTTCGAATCGCTCCCCTGCAGATACCAGGGTCCTACTCTTACAGTTCCATAACCATAGGCAGGACAGCCTGTGTTCCTCGTTCTAATATCCACAGAGATCTCTAATCAGTATTCATGCAGTAGAAGAATAACACCATATTTTTCTGTTACTACACCCTGTTTTGACCCCCTTAATTAATGGCAAAACAACCAAACAAACAGATGGAGGAGAACCCTGCGATTGATGTGCTCTTCTCTCTTTCTAGTAGGGTCCCCTGCAGAAATTCGAAGATATCTTTAGCAATCTCACCAGTGGTCTTGGAATGGGTTTTTGAGGTTTCTTGGAACCCAGCTTTTTCATGGCATTATAATATTTCTTCTGCTCCTCTGTCATAAAGATGTCTTGTCCACCTAAGTATAAGAAATATAAAACTCATATTATTTTGGATGAAAAAAAAGGAAAGGAAAAATACCGATTTCAACCCCCCCCCCCATCGTATTAGGAAGATTTTGATATTGCTCCAATATTGTTTTCTTTTCATCTTTGCATTAAGATTTTGTTTTGTTTTGTTTTTCCAGATCTTTTAAATATTTCTTATTTAAATCCCCCTTACATGGTGGTGATTTAACCCTTGTTTCATTCCTGTCTGGTTTTAGCTCCTTCCGTTTTTCATTGTACGGTAACATGTCGGTGGGTGATGTCTTTTTATCATTTTGGTTTATGGTTGCTTTTATAGTTTAATTCTGATACTTTTGTACTGTGCTTTTAGATGGGTGTGCGTTTTTATGGAAGCGCTGGGCCAAAGTCTTGTGAGTTAGACCTGCAAGTGCAACAGAATCTGTACAACGCTTGGAGGCAAATTGCCTCAAGTTAAGAAGTCCCTGCAAGCTCTTCTCTGTTGTGTGCTGAATTGCACAACCCAACACACAAGCCCTGTGATGGTCTTTTAACTAGAGGCAACTTGCGCCCCCCCCCTCCCCAAGTTATGCTGCTTGTGTTAATCTTGTGGGTGTAACTAACAAGATTCTTGGCCAGTGACAGATGCCTAGAGAATTTGTTTTCTGTACAAAAGAACAGAACTGAATGTTTTTTTCCCTGCTTTACCTCTGGTAGAACTAATCCATTTGCCTTCCTGTTTTGCAATATTTCCTTCGTGTGGCTCTTTTTAACTTCCAGATCCAAGGTCATCTCATTTTGTTTGTAAGAGACCACCTGTGATTCCATAGAAAACCACCAGCTTTGTGCTGAGATGAGAGCACTGCCCATTTTATTATCAATAAGGCAGATAATACACTTACCAAGGGCAAGGAGTAACCATTATGGGTGCCACAAATATAGCCATTGCTACATGCCTCACACGTAGGTTTTCATTGGCTGCTCCCACCTTATGGAATCCCTTTTCTCAGGAATGTAGGCTGGCTCCTTCCTTACAGACTTTCCACCAGCAGGTGAAAACCTTCCTTTTAAACTGCTAAATGCATCTGCAGGATTGTGTTTTTAAAGGAGGCAAATGTGGCATATTTTATTAGGATATTTTATTATCATTTTTATCAGCCTCTTTATTAAGCATTTTAAATATTTTCATCTTGTTTTAACTAATGATGTTTTAATGCTCTTTTAGTTCAATCATATGAGAATGTGAAGAATAAATGATTATTATGACTTTAAATATATATCTTTTTTTTGTTGTTTTATACTATATCCCCTTCAAAAGACAGGATATAAAATAAGCAACTACAGTAGGATCCCCATATATGCAGGATCAGCATCCGCTGGTTCTGTTATCCACAGTCTGAAAATATTAAAAATATTAAAAGAAAAATCATAGAAATATAATTTCTAAAGGTGAAGTTTCCAGACCTGGCCACTAGAGGGAGACCATGCTATGTATACTGTAGCATTCACTAGAGAGAGAGATTTCTAGGATGTCATTATCAGAACTGGCCATTAGAGGGAGCCAAAGAAAATGTTATGTATAGCATTGGCTATTAATTTAGCATTTGATATAATCTGCGTTTTAAGCATCTCGGAGGTGGGGCCTGGAACCAATCCCTCACAGATATGGGGTCCTACTATAAAAAATTTTTCCTCACACTGGAAGTGATACTATACCCTAGCTACAGAGGCAGCTGTACTCCCCCGGAGGAGCAGGAGGTTCGAAAAATGACCCACAGAATTTGCTTCCCGAAGAGGCTACTATTCCACCTCTACTCTTTGCCACACTTACGAGCGCATAAAAGGCCACTTATCTTTTTCTTTTGTTGATTGAAATTATCAATGATGACACCAATGAAGAGGTTCAGAGTGAAAAAGGAACCGAAGATGATAAAGATCACAAAGTAGAGGTACATGTACAGGTTATATTCCCAGACAGGTTGTTCCTCACGCTGCGAAAGGAAGATGGAAAAAGCAGGAAGGAATGATTTTTTTTTAAAAAAAAGCAATTGAAATCCTAAACCAGAATGGATATGTTTGTTCATTTAACCTCCCTCCACCCCCTAGTGAACAATGTATTATGTTCATCAGCTCACAGGAATCTTTCTGCCATTGGGTGGATGCAGTGAAGTTCATACCCTATAACAGTGGTTCCCAACCTTGGGGCAATCCAGGTGTTCTTGGACTGCAACTCCCAGAAACCCCAGCCAGTGCACCTGGTGGTGAAGGCTTCTGGGAATTACAGTCTAAGAACACTTGAGTTGGGGACCATTGCCCCATAACAAAGGCAGGCAACATGTAGACTGTAGGCCGTGAGTTGCACACCCTTGCTTCCCCAACATTCCCCCCCCAAATAATTAGCATGTGTGTGTATGCGTATGTGTGTGTTGGCTTAAAATATTCCCTGGTTACCTCTAGAAGATGTGGTGGCAATTCTTCCACACCCCTCCAAAATCTTTTTAAATTTGGCCCCTAGAGGGCAGAAGGGAGGGTGTCCATAGGCCACCATTTTTGTAAGATTATTATTTTTTTTACGAGAAGCGGGGTTATAGGAGCAGGTACAGCTCTCCAGCATCCAGGGATGGCTGCCTAGAGGCCGCCCTGCAACTTCAGAGAAGTTACATTTGCTTCCATTTGACTTTAGGGGGATACTGAATGCAAGGAAGAAGGGCGTGTAACTCTCTGTTTGGCCCTTCGGAAGGCAAGGGTGCAGGGCTGGGGTTCCCTAGCCATGCCTTTGGAAGAGGACTTCACTGGGGATATCGGTCGGCCAATAAGACAAACCTAGTTCGGAAAACAAGATGGGGAGAGGAAAACGTGAGACAAACGCACTCTCAGCTGGAGCAGCCTACCTCTCGCGAATCCACTGCGGCATACATAATTTCCATCCAACCTTTAAAAGTTGCCTAGGGAGAAAAAAAAAGAAAAAGAAAAGGAACAGCTGTAATTAGGATAATCACAATAAGCATTTCTGTTAACGGTGACTTAATTGCTTTGTGTTCTTTACTTGCAAGATGATGTGAGTGTGACAAACCCAGACCTACTGGGATATGTCACACAGTTACACTAAGCTGCCACCAACCATTCCCTTTAAGAAGTCACACAGACCAGGGATGGATTTTCAAACAAACAAGGAATAAGGTTTATTTTAAATACACACAGGGAAAAATAAACAATCAGGTGAATAAAATAAAGTAACGTGGCTTATTCTCACTCATACAAGCATACAGTTTGGTTCACCCAGAACCCTTAACTTGAAGCACAGACCCTGAACCTATCAGTTCTGGCTAACCAACAGACACCTGAACCTATCAGGTTGGTACTCTGACACACAGAAGTACCCTGTCTGACACACAGACTCCCACAACAGCTTCTTCTTCCCAGCTGCTGCTTCGTCACAACCCAGTGTCTCTCAGCATCTCTTCTCCACCACACAGGCATCACATATTTATACAGTACAGCCCCTCCTCCTGATGTCCCGCCTTCCACTCCCCATAGGATGGAACTTTCCCTCCAAACCCATGACAGACAGGTAACATCAGTGCTGTATGTAACACCTCCCCTCTTTATAAGTTGTTTTGTAGGGAGAAAGCTAACAGTGCTTTTCACCAAAAAACAACCTGAATAAAATACACAACAACAGTTATACATACCATATCATACTTACTTATACTTACATTCTAAGTTAATCCAACCTTTAAAAGTTGCCTAGGGGGAAAAAAAAGAAAAAGAAAAGGAACAGCTGTAATTAGGATAATCACAATAAGCATTTCTGTTAACGGTGACTTAATTGCTTTGTGTTCTTTACTTGCAAGATGATGTGAGTAGGGGGAAAAATATTTCTGACGGCTGTTAAAGAAAATGACAATATCACCCCATGGATTTGGGTTTGCAGGAAAGCGTAGGGCTGCTTTGCCAATGAATTGATGGCTTGCTTTCAATGTAAACTCTGGTTCATGGCTGGAAAGGAATTATTGGCTTGGGTTAATCTATTTTGGGATGCATTAACAGCAGCGTAATCTCCATTTCCCATAAGGCACCAGTCCCCCTTTATTTGGCATTGGCTAGGCTGCATCTACAGTACCGTGTCCAGTTTTGGACCACAACACTTGAAGAAGGCTGGCAACACACTGGACCCAGTTCAGAGGAGGGCAACAAGGAGGATCATGGGATTGGAAACCAAGCCCTGTGAGGAAAGTCTGAAAGAACTGGCCATGTTTAGCTCTGAGAAAATAAGACTGAGGATAACACTTTTCAAATATTTGAAAGGTAGTCATACAGAGGAGAGGCAGGATCTGTTCTCGATCATCCCAGTGCAAGACACATAATAATGGGCTAAGCTACAGGGAGACAGCTATCAGGAAAAACTTCTTAACTGTTAGAGCAGTACGATAATGGAACCAATGACCCTGGGAAGCAGTGAGTGCTCCAATGCTGGAGGCATTATAAGCCCCTTCCAACTCAATTATTCTGTGATTCTATGTGTCTCCTACTCACAACATTTTTCACTCTCTGTGATTTCTCACATCTCAGCCTAGTAGGACTCCCTGCTGAGACAGCCCGCTGCATCAGCAGTATTTCCCGGCTTCTTGTATAAATGAGACTCTGATCTCATTTTCCATTTCATTTCATCGCTGGAGGCATTATAAACCCCTTCCAACACAATTATTCTGTGATTCTATGTGTCTCCTACTCAGAACATTTTTCACTCTCTGTGATTTCTCACATCTCAGCCTAGTAGGACTCCCTGCTGAGACAGCCCGCTGCATCAGCAGTATTTCCCGGCTTCTTGTATAAATGAGACTCTGATCTCATTTTCCATTTCATTTCATTTCATTTCTCTTGTCTGTCACCTATTGTTCTCTGCAGGAAACGATCAAATTACTGTACCTGCCGTTTATTGACTTTGCTGCTGAATCCTATGCAGGCCAAATGCCCTCCTGTACAGGAATTGTAACAATCCTGCGCAGTTTGGCATTTTGCTTAGGAAAAAAAAAATTACTACAAAGCTCCTGACAAATCCAGTGAATTTCCTGCAAGATTTCTCATAGAAAAACTCAAAATCTCCTAAAGAGGACTCTCTCAAATACATGGCTCTCTTCTCTAACCCCATATCAGCATTCTCTACTCCTCAGCATCCGCCCCTTGCAGCACCCAAACATTTGATCATGGTAAATTGTGCATGTGTAGAGTCCATTCAAAACAAGTAAGAGGCTCAGGTTGCTTTCTTGAGAAATTCAGAACATAAGAAAGCTTGTAAAAATTCAATGGAAAGGCTGATGCTAAATATCAGATTATAGGTGAAGCAACATTCAGTGTAGGCCAGGGGTTCCCAACATTGGCAGTGCAGATCCAGGGGGTGCTGTATGTACAACCCAGGCAGCAGAGCGCCAAGGAATAAGGGATGGAACATAGAGCTATGAAGGCAATAGAGGAGGCCATGTGCATGCCTCTCCTTTCCCCTTCTCTATGGTCCCCAGTGGAAGGGCTTGGTGGATGGTCTCACGAGTGGCCTGCATGAGGACCTGGAAGGATGTGAGCCCTTGGGGTGAGGGAGGAGATGGGATGGCTAGGGGTGGTCAAGATGCTGCTCCCGATGAGAAAGAGAGCCTCAGCTGCCCCTCTGAGCCAGAGGAGCCACGGCTAAGGGTCACAAAATAAAGGGAGCCACGAGGCCGAAACGTTTAGCAACCACTGCCATAGCAGTGCTGGAGGAGGCTCTGGAGAGTCCCCTGGACTGCAAGGAGAACAAACCTTTCCATTTTGAAGGAAATCAACCCTGAGTGCTCCCTGGAAGGACAGATCCTGAAGCTGAGGCGCCAATCCTTTGGCCATCTCATGAGAAGAGACGACTCCCTGGAAAAGACCCTGATGTTGGGAAAGTGTGAAGGCAAGAGGAGAGAGAAGGGGACGACAGAGGACGAGATGGGTGGACAGGGTCATCGAAGCGACCAACATGAATTTGACCCAACTCCGGGAGGCAGCGGAAGACAGGAGGGCCTGGCATTCTCTGGTCCATGGGGGTCACGAAGAGGGCCACACAGCTTAACGACTAAACAACGACCATGCCATAGCCCAAGAAGAGATGGAAGGGATGTAAAAGAACATATAGTATCCTTATCATGGAGATGGACAGGCCACACCATGAAATAAGTCGTTGGGCGATAAAGAAACTCATCACGGTAGCCTTGGATCTGAAGCAGTAAACGAAGTACCGCCAACTGGATAATGGGTGATGTTTGAAGATCCGTTGGACTGGCATGCATTAGAAGAGTGCAGAACAGAAATTTGGGGAAGCAGAAAGGGGAGGGTGACATCCAACTCTGGATGCCACTGGACTGATAAAGAAGAAGGAATCGTCAGCGCAGTTTTAGGGGAAAATTAAACCAAGATGGAATTTGCTGCACATTTCCATTTTTGACCTTTTCTCCCACGTGAGCCACATTTAGTGTCTGTCAAGTCCCTGCAGCCCACTGGATAGCTCAGTGGTTTAGGTTTCTGGCTGCAAAGCCAGAGGTTGAGAGTTCAATTCCCCCACTGGGCCTCCTGGGAGTGCAGCCAGCCTGGGTGGCCTTGGGCCAGTTGCATCGTACCAGGGCGCCCCTAGAGGAAGGGAATGGTAAACCACTTCTAAATATTCTCTACTTAGAAAACCCTAGACCATAAGTCACGATGGGACACAATTATTTATTCTTATTAAGGTGCATGTACGTCAAGTCAAAACTCTGAGAATAAGGAATTATGGGATTTGTAACTCCCAAATATCAGAAAATCCCATCCATCTTCAGAGAGAAATCATTTATACATCAGAATTCAGAAAAGTTCCTTCTTTACGACAGTACGACAACTCCTTTTGCCTTTTTTATTTACTTCGACGAATGAAAAGCAGAGGGCCCAGTTAACAACAAACAAGAGCGTCAGGTTTGGCCCCGAGACACCTTTCTCTGAAACAGCACCAATTAGCGGGTATGTGTTTTTGTACCACCGCCATGCAGGTACATGTTTCCTGTCTGCCTGGCTACACTAGGAAGGTGGCTTTGCCATCGGAGGATTGGAAAAATGGGCTTGCTGGTTCATTATGTTAACAATATTGGTGGAGAAGCCCGGCAATTTCTTTTGCAGGTGGCTTAATAGTCCCTTCCCAGGCCTCCCGGTGTTTCTCTAATCCCAGAGAAGCCAATCAGGACCTTGTTAAAGTCTATTTCCCGCTTAACAGTCATTTATTTTGCCTAAGGAAGTTAGGATCGGGAAGGGAGAGGTTATGCTTGGTCACTGGCTTGCCCTCCAAATTGCTAAGATTTTTTCTGGTGCCTCCCTCCCATTGGTAAAGCAATCTTTTGTCACTATGTGATGCTCCTGTCCTGGGGATATCATTTGGCTAGGTTCCAGCTGGAAAAGAAATGAAGCATTTAGCATAAACACACACACACACAGAGAGAGAGGAGCCTCAGCACTCGGTCCGTGCAGTTCATGAACTGACTGGGTTGTGATTAAGATATTTCGGATGGCAGAACGTTCAAGGAAGAGGCTTCCTATCCACCACCACCCCCGGACCGCCCATACCCTCGAGCGAAAGGGCCGAGCCGCAAGATAATCCACAGCTCCGTTGGACTTCTGGAATTCTTCTCCAGACACTCTGG